TGCTTCGTACTCCCAAAAGTATCGCTCTTTAGCAATATCGTCGTCCTCACACTCACTCGGCCACCCATTCGCCTCTTGCTTCAATTGTAAGAAGCTGTTAATATACTCGGTAAACAATCCTCCCTGATGTGTAACAGAATTATAGCGTGTATATTTGTACTGCCAGATTTCATCTACCCTCGTCACGAGATAACCCTTCTCAATTGCTTTATGCAATTCACATAATACTCACGTGCCCTCAAACTTACGTTCCGCAGGGTCATTGTGAGTGCAGATTGCGAAAATGTTTCACAGCAAGTGCGACAAAGCGCGAATAATAATTTTCCGTTCACACGATACGGTAATACAGGATGGAAAAGTTCGCGTGGGGGGAGTACACAACATCGTATGAGGCCCGTGATCTGTTCAAAATTGAAATTTGGTGCTTCTCCAATTAGTGCGGAATATTTTTCCCCTACGTAGACATCGGGATGTTTGATTGGATAAACACCGGTCTTCAATACGTACGGGTACAGAGAACATACGTTTATGTAACGTATCTTCTCGTTATCCGTGATCTCGTATCGTGTCGCGATATTACCGGTACATCCGCCGAAAAATGCATCACGAGGATTGAGAGGAGGGATTCTATTTGAATCATAGGGTGATTCTCGAGAAATTCACGTGTCTCTCGATTCGTGCGCATTTCTTCATCGAAAACACACTCCCACTTTTCCGTCACGATATAACCTCGCTGACGTAATCGCCAAGTCGTTGCAATCGTTCGTTCATATCGCGCATCGAGTGTATCTTTGGAATTTCCAATAGGTTTATCGCGGTTTATTCGGTAACAAGTCGGGCACCCGTGAAAGAAGCAACCGTGGAACTGCAAAACGTGACGTTGCGTCTCATTCTCGTACTCGTAATACCCGTCGACGAGTATGCCTTCCGTTAACCGATATTCACTCCCGCGTCCCGCGTGAATAATACCACGTTCATTTTCCTTTAAAATTAACCATTGAACGGCTTTGCGTGATTGATTGTCTTTAAATCTGTATCCCCCCGACGGAATGATACCTATTTCTTCTTTACGCAAAAAGTTTTTCCGAAATACTCTCATACACGTCGAGGCAATGGTCGTGCATTCTATGAATGGACATACGTTTCCACGCTCTAAAAATATTTTTCTAAACGCCAGACATGCTCGCCGAAGGATATCGACGTCGGTACGACAATAATCGACTCATTTCTCGTTAAAAATCGAATACGGTATTTTTTTTCGATATTTTAGCATGCCACGCAAAAAAACGTTCGCGTTCCTCCGTTTGCATCGTTTCGGGTGCATAATAACTAACGTTAGGCAGCGGACCAAAGTACGTTTGATTATCGCTAGTATTAAAAAGATGCGGAAAGATGCCTTTCTCGCAGGTTTCCGGTAACCCAAAGGTTCGGTAATTCCGCCAATCGCATCGGTATATAATTAATACTATCAATAAATTTTGTACGTCCTACCGTTAAAACTATAATTTTTGTACCGTTTAAAATCACGCGAGGTTCCAATCTACAGTGATTTTCGACTATATATTTGAGAATGAACTGTGCGTCGAAAGCTTTCGCGTTGTGCACTATGCAGATGATTCGAGTAAAGTTTTTCGTGGGACGTGTTACGAATTCGACAAATTCCTTTATCGGATCGTGACGAAAAACAAATTCATGCACTCCACACCAACGACAAAGTTGCGATAAATCATCTACTTCCACACACAAATCGCAAATTTGTTGAGCGATGCAGAGTGTGTGTGTTGGGACGTGAATTTTTATCTCGGTACCGTTAAGTGAATCGTCTTGTCGTGTCTCAAAATCATAGAACACGAATGCGGTCCGTCCCTTCGCACGTTCTTGCTCGCTCGCATTCGTGTTATTTTGTTCACTCTCTCTCACGATTACGGGCGAATCTCCATCATCGGATTCGTCAACGGAGGATCTACCTTCACGAAAAAGAGGTTGCATATACACAAATGGTTTATAGGTTGTGGTGAACTACAAATTTTACAAAAGGCAACACCACAATCGTGTTCTTTCGTTGATTTTATTACGCGTCCGCAATCGTCGCAAAATTTAAACACGCTGCAAACACTCCGCGGCGTTTTCCCGTCGTAGGACTTTATCGCCCGATGATGTTCGAAACACAGCATTCCTGAAGAACGAACGTTTGCATATTTCGCACCTGACGATATTTACATCCTGCTGTTCACACGACGGTACGTTGTTGCAACGTAGCCATGTATTTGAACAACGATAACCCCTGTCCTCGCGGTAACCGATATTATACGGAATGTAATATCCCCCCTACTCCCCGCGGCTGCTTTTAAATTTAAAATAGGCCTATAGTGACGTTCACCTTCGTAATACATAATATATAATCGATACGAGGGCTCACGTCCTAACGAGGTAAGCGCATCAGTCCCGTCGAATAAAGGCCTATATTCAAGGGCGTCCATAGGAGGGGGGGGAAGAAGGGGCATTTGCCTCCCCCTGGGCGACAGACGCGCGCGCGCGTGCCGAGTAAAAGCGTATACGGTGAGATCTTAACGTGCCTTTTCGTGCTGACACTTGATGCTCATTTTTAGTCTCAAAATTGATCACATAATCAAAATTGACGATTCATATCGATTTTGATCACGTGACCTATTTTGACTCTAAAAATGAGCGTCGATCGTCAGCATGAAAAGGCACCTTTGGCTGTGTTCAGATTCCTTACTCCGAGTAAAATATTTACCCGATCCCGTTCAGATAGTATCTGAGTAATTATTTTTTGACTCGATAGACTGCGTTCAAATTGCTAAGTTAGAGTAATCAGGTTAACTCTAGAGTCGATTTCTCAACCCATCATTTTTCGTCGGTTAAAGAGTTACTCGACGTGTTTTGGCGGCAAGCTTGAAATTGAGAATACGCCGAAATGAGTGACAATAAGCTCAATATTGTAGAAGCAGACTTAACTCGCCACAAATTAGTGACAACGGAAAACGGAGAGATCGTTCGTGCTGATGGACATATTGTGGTGTTCGACAATATTGGTAAGTACATGATGGTTAAGTGTCGTAAACAGAAATTACGAAAGAGACTAAGTCCTATCAATTTTCTGTTTTTAATAATCTTTCTCCTTAACAGATAACAATATGTACTGCGTTCTCGAAAATAAGAAAAATCTCCGACTCTTCGGTCTCATACCAGCTGCATTACAGCTTGATACAGGTATATATTAAATTTTGATCATAGAGTCAAATAGTGTGTGTGATTACTGATCCATAGCCTAAATAATTTTTATTGTTCTTGCAGTTTCTGAAATGAACATTTCGTCAGCAGAGTCAGGCTCCTCCATTGCAACATGTTTGCCAGAGGCAGAATGTGTGAGTCAAGCAACCAATAAAGGAAAAAGTAAGAATGGATTGTCATAGGCCGGAATCAGACTATGCATTGAAGATTGAAATTAAAGATTAAAGATTGAAATTTCACCAATGAGGATAAAGAAATTTTGATTTCTTTTGTTTTGATTGATCAAACTTCAATCTTTCAATCTTCAATCTCATTCTTCAATGCGTAGTCTGATTCTAGCCATAGGCTGTGTATTTCGAATTTACTGTCAGCGCTGAAAATTTACAGTTTTTGTTATGTTCACTATAGATTTTCAGTACTGGCAGTTTTTTCAACTTTGAAGCACAGTCATAGTAGAGTCAGTCAAACTGTATGCATAATTATATATTCTTGATTTATATATGTTTTAGTTAAGTGGACTAAGAATGCTGTTCTAGCACTAATCGCGTCCTGGAAAGCTAATCAGCCAAAATTCCAGAACAGCGCTATAAGGAACGATATAGTATGGAATATAATTGCCCAGAATATTAAAGAAACAGGGCTTGCAGTTAACGCCATTCATACCGAAAACAAGTGGAAAAATATAAGGAAAGCGTATATGGCTGTTAAGGACCATAACTCTAAGTCTGGGAATGCTCCGAAGACATGTTCATTCTATAATGAGTTGGATGAAATATTTCATAAATCACCAAGTGTCACACCTATCGCTCTTGCCTCATCAAGAACAAAGAGAGCCCTTACAACTATAGAAAAGGATTGTAATACTGATGATGATACTTTTGAAGACACTGACTATGATAAAACAAATCAAAGGGCAAAGAAGAGCAAATTAAAGGCTAGAGAATTAGAGGCTTGGTCTAAGACTTCGTGAGGATACAGATAAAAGGGAATTAGCAAGGGAAAGACGACATGAGGCAATGATTGATGTGCAGAATAAAGGAATTGCAGCATTCACTGATGTCATGAATAAACTTATAGAAAAGCTGTAATCAACGACATATATACATAGACCAAGCATTACCATGTTTTTCAGTGATGAGAGTTGAAGCCGGAAATTGACGGTTTAATGTGGCGTTTTAGGATTCGTGCTATTTCACTCTCTCACACTGCTCTCATCAAATTAGAAAGAGACACCATGGGTCCTAAACACCACATAAACTGTCAATTTTCGGCTTCAAGCTACGGACAGAATGCTTGGTCTATGTATATATGTTGTTGGCTGTAATACTGTTTTAACATAATAATGAAGTTTAACATAAGTACGAAGAGTCATTTTCTCTCAAAAATCTAACAGTTCATTTTGATAAATAAAAAAAAATTTGTTTTTATTTTATAATACAGAACATACATCAGAACATAATTTTAGCAAACTGATTGTAAGCAAGTAACGTAATTGTAATTCTGTGCCTTGATAACAGTGCCAACTGAATTTTCATAATATTATATGTTTATTTTGTTCCTAATACACATGTGATTATAGTTATCCAAATATATTTTTATTATACATTCTTTATATTTTTTTTTATGTTTTTATTATACAAGATGTTTGTATAATTATACAATAAAGAAGTTTTATGTTTATTTATGATATTATTTATTCAATCTTAGTATTTACATTGCATTCATATTGCATTTACAGATAAAACTTATCGATTATTTCTTTCGAAAATGTTTACAAGGTAGGCTCTCTTGGCTTCACCTTCCTGCTGTAAGCCTACATGATCATCATCATCATTCCCCCGTACTAGTTGTCTTTCAGTTTGAAAACCTTCCTCAATGAAATCATCAACATTATCTTCTTCTACATGGTTCTCTTCAAACCCATATAGACAAATATTGTGCAACACACAACACGCAAGAATGAAACTTGGAATTAGATCTAGTCTTTTCATACATAGATGCTTCAATCGTCGAAATCTTCCTTTCAACAATGCAAAACAACGTTCAATGACTTGTCTTGTCAGCGACAGTACTGAATTGAAGTGTTTCTGTGCCTGAAAAAGAAAATTCATAGTTAAGAATTCGGAAATGCACGTCATTGCGGATAAGAATACGAAATAAGGCAATAGCGATTAATTTTCGACGAATCATAAATTTTCGACAATACATTGCTATTTCTGTACTATTTCTATCGCGGGATGTATAGCTGCTGAGTGTACAGATAGCTCTGTTTTACAAATTCAAAATAATTTGACAATAAAACTTACTCGTGTTAAGCGGCCATTGTCAATATATGAAGGAATGCACCATGATAATACAGGATATGCCTTATCAGCTATGATATATTCACCATTTGGGAAGAGAGCATTCATATTATGCTCTGCAGCCCAAAACAAATCAGAGTTTCGAAAAATGCGTCGATCACCCACTGAACCAGGATAACCGGCAAAACAATCAATAAATCTCAGTTCTGAATCACAGACTGCCTGAAGAACCACAGCATAATTTTTTTTTCTTATCTTATAATGCAGTGAATGTTCCTGAAGCACAAAACAGAAAAATATACTACATAAAGATAATAAAAATAAACTACACAGAGATAACGGTTCTCTTGATGCTGCAAATGTTTCAAAGAGTTTTTCTCCTTCCTTTTAATAAAAAAAGAAGGAGAATAATGTTTCAAAGCATTTATAACATCAAGAGGATTACAGTCAGAAACTGTGGCAATACATATTAATAAGACAAACCTTAGGAGCATCAATGCTTATATCACAGCCATCAATCGCACCAATTACATTTGGCATATTGGAAAGACATTGGAACTTTTGTTTAACAACATCAAGGCAATTTCCTTCTGGCCATCTAATAACATTTCCTGCCATATCATTAAGAGCTGCAACGACTCGTTGAACACTAACATTTAAGGATGACTTTGCGAGATTATGTTTCAGACCTACAGACCTAGTATAGTAATAAGAACAGCACATTCAGCATCATACTGAGTACACAAGTTGTCAAATTGCTAAAATCATACATTTACAATGTGTAAATACATTACCTGAAAGAATCTGGCGTTGCTAGCAACCACAGTGTAGCAAGCAATTGTGTACGAACAGGGATGCAAGGTTTATTAATAGGGTCCCCTGCCAAAATAGGCCCAAGACGATTTTCTAATAGTTCGAATGTACTAGGCAACATTCTATAATGTTCACGGAATTGTTTTGTATTAAATCTTGGGACTATCTCTTCTACATAACCTTCAATTCGTATAGCTTTTCTCGACGCGCCACGTAGCCTTAGATGGACTTCCAATAAAAATGCCTCGACCAACTCATCCTCCTCATCGCTTTCCAGTACCTCCCTGAATAATGATCTGAACAGTTGTTCACTCGCATTAATGGCCATCGGCAGAATAGCGTTTCTTCGACTATCCATCTTTATTTATTCCTCGCCATCATATTTTAACCCAAATGGTAACTCGAATCGTTCAAAGCCACAATCTTACTCAGAGTAAATTAATCGAGTTAGAGTCGAAACTCTGATAACTCAACCCTGAGTCGTCAGGTTGGGAATCTGAACACACCCTAGGAGGGAGGAAGGTACTACCAGGAAGGGTCATGACCCGTAGGGGGGAGGAAGGTACCACCTTTCCTGGTGGTACCTTCTTCCCCCTTGCAAAGGGGCGCCCGACTTTCATCTTCGACTCTCACTCCCCCCTCCCCCTGCAAAGGGGCGCGCGAATCTCACCTTCGACTCTCACCCCCCCTCACCCCTGCAAAGGGGCGCGCGAATCTCACCCTCGATTCCCCTTCCCCTCCCCTCTGCAAAGGGGCGCACGACTTCCACACTCGTTAAACATTCACACGTACAAGTCTATTTATTCCTCGGTTTATTTTGCTTACATTTAAGCAATGGAAAGGTCACTATTACGATGCAGGGGGAGGAGCAGTTGTGAGAGTCGAAGGTGAGAGCTGTGCGCCCCTTTGCAGGGGGGAGGGGGGTGAGATTCGAAGGTGAGAGTCGTGCGCCCTTTTGCAGGGGGGAGGGAGGGTGAGAGTCGAAGGTGAGATTCGCGTGCCCCTCTGCAGGAGGTGAGGGGGGATGAGAGTCGAAGGTGAGAGTCGGGTGCCCCTTTGCAGGGGGAGGGGAGGTGAGAGTCGAAGGTCAAAGATCTCTAAGCTATGTAAAGCAGTTAAAAAATTACTAACTTTAACTGTTAATAACTTTTTAACGAAGGACAAGCGACGACTTGTTGGAGGTTACTCAGGGTCATGACCTTGACAATATATGTCAAGGTCAAGGTCATTGGGGGGAGTCCCCTAATCGGAACTTTTACCATAACTTTTAATAATAATCAAATTATGTATTTTCAAAATCTATCATATTTCTCGAATATAGTATGAAAGTCTCGGAAATCATATATACTATTTATTTATCGTATTTTTATTGTTCAAACTGAATTATCATTTTGTAATACTGTTTTCATGTGAAACATAACAATTGTTTTGAAATAATACGCTTATACGATATATTATGCTTAATATATGATGAAATAGTAATCTTGTTGAGCACTGCTGCTCGAGCGCTGCGCGCGCGCGGCTGTCTGCTAAGTCCGTCTGCTAGCTTCAGCCTCATAATATATAAAATGCTATATATGCAATATATTTACAAACATATATTACTGCCACCAGTAAATCTGTTCTTTAAATTTTTTATTTTTCTTTTGAAAAAAATATCTAAAATATTTTTATGCCTAAACTCTATAACAGACCAAAACTACATAATTTTAAATGTTTTGTAAGCCAAAAAAATACAAAAAATTACAAATTTAAATATATTATGATTGCCTATATTCAATTAAACGCTCCAATAATAAATTTAAAATAGTAGTAATAATTACATACACATGTTTCTGTACCTTGCAAACTTGAATTTAATTTTAGATCCAAATCCTCTAAATGTTATTGATTTTTAAAATGCCTTCGTTGTTAAAATAATAATTGATTCGGATTAGGAAAACTCGCCGATCGGTTGTCAAAAGGAATGATCCCTTTACTCCTTAAACGTCACAATCCTCCTACGAAAACGATCAAAATACAATCACAGTTACATTTAGAATTTTAATTTAGAGAATAAAATAGGATATTTTCAAAATATAATTGAATTCTTATAAATCTTTCAGAAAAAAACGAGAGCTAATAATACAGATAACTAATCATAATATAATTATCTTTTCTCTACTCACAAAGTATCCTCCAAACATTGAAATTATTAATCTGACGCAAACTTCTTAACTTGACAGTTCTTTCTTTACATAATCAAAGATGACAGCATAATATACATCGATAACATGTCAACATATATTTTATAATTTGAAGTGAAGTTAACGCATAAAGATAACATGAAGATAAACACTAAATATTTTCTATTCTTATAAAGCAACGTAACAACATTGTACAAAAATTACAATTTTAATTCAATCATTAAGTAAAAGTTTAAAATTTCTTTTTGAACAAAAAAACCTAAATCAAAGTTATAATAATAATAAAAACATTAAATTCTAATAAATTTTTGTATACTAAACATTAAATATATCAAGAAAAATCTCGTTGGCTTATAAAATTCTATTGTTATTAATATTTTATAATTCGAAATTTTTGAAAATTTCCAAATATATTTAATTAGCATAAAATAACTAAACAAATAAACTCTGTATGATTTAAATCTTCGAATTTTTTCAAAATCTTAATTCTTCTTTAACGTATGAATTTTCAAATTATAAAGCCAAATTCGCAATTTTGAATTTTCAAATTTTGAGACTTGATTCGAAATCAACAACCTCTAAATCCCCTTTATACGTAAATTCACCGAAATCGGAAAATCTTTAGGAATTTCATCTGCCATAATGGTTCAGCCTGTGCAAAGGTGTGAGTGCGGAGGCCTCGACGCCGTGAAAGGCGCTCGTTTGGAGTTCCACAAGAGGTGAGCCTCTTTGGTTCAGCCATTTTGAATTTCGGAATTTTAATCACAATTTCGGAACGAGCGACCCCTAAAACTCCGGAATACGAAGTCACAACGGAATCGGAGTACTCCAACACTCCTTTGAAAAGAGGCTTCAAAAAAACGTGACCCCTAAAACCTCACAATACAAATTTTCACCGAAATCGGAGAACATTTAAGATTTCGGTAACATTTCCGTCCGTCATATTGGTTCAGCCATTTTGAATTTCAGAATTTTGAGCGACCCCTAAAACCCCGGAATACAAAGCCACAACGAAATCAGAGTACTCCAACACCCCTTTGAAAAGAGGCTTCAAAAAAACGTGACACGCCAATTTTAATATAAGAAAAAAGATATGATACCAGCTAAACGTTAATAAGTACCAGATAATAAAAGGCAACTCACAAAGTAAACGCAGCGAGAGAACCAAAATTACTCCGAATTACTTGGTTTTAGTACATATTGAGTTTTAACAACATTGACGACACGTAACTTTCAGGATAAGAAGATTATATTATCTTTTAAATCCTTGTCTTTTCTTTTCAGGTCTTTCCTTTCAATAAATCTGAATCTGAAACAGCACAAAAAATCAATTTTTTTATAATAATAAAGAATTCTTTTATAATAGCTAAACGTTAATAACTACTAGATAAATAAATCTTTCAATATCCTTTATATAATTGTAAAACTTATCTGATGCAATATTGAAGAGAAATTTTAACGCTTTGAAAAGAGTATCTTTTATTTTATTTAATCTTAACCATGTGACTATGCATCGTTAGCGCCACATTTGCTTCTTGCGCCAAAAACATGCATCGCTAGCGTCACATTTGCTTCTTGCGTCAATCACCGGCTCGCGTAAAGTAGCCACGGCAGTGTTCTGCGCTTGGTTCAGCGCTGAGATACTACCATGTCTCCAGATATCTCCAGATATTTATATATTATACAAGAATACAAGAAGATATAATACAGTATGTAACGATGCGCCCAGATAAGCATCGTT